GCCGATCTTGGTCAAGTTGGCTTCGGCCTCACCACGCACCGACGTTACGTGCACGCTACGCCACGTTAGCCACCTGCTCGTGCCACAACCGAGGAGGAATACTTTGCTGGCGTCTCGCTGCGCTTGTTGATGCCATAGGAGAACCTAGCCGGATTGAATGAGAGCCCTTCTGCGGATTCCGTCCGTACATGATCTGCTGGGTCAGCGACTTCTTTTCCTTGGAGCTCATGGCCTCTTCAAAGCCGCAGTCAATGACGATCGTGGGGCCTTCGGACGCAGCCATGAGGAAAGACTCACGCTTCGCAATTGCGCGCTCCTTCCGCATTAGCACGGCGGCCTCGCTCATGTCGAGGACCGGCTCTGGAGCCTTTGGCCGCGCGGCCCGCGCCTCTTCCTTCTTCTGCTTTTTGCGCTCCTTAACAGAGACCCAGATCTCTTGCCGCTTTTGGCGGCGAAGCGCGCGCTTGCCGGACGTGCTGCTCACGGCGTCCGGCGCCGATGCGTCATCTTGGAGCGTCGGCAGAGGATCGTTGCTCATGTCACTTGCCATCGTCGTCCTGTCCAATTGTTGCACCGCAATGGTGACCGTAACCGGACAAACCGGTTACAGTGTAACCGGTTTGTCCGGTTACTGTAGTAGTTGCCGCGATACAACCCATCTCTCCCGCATTATAAGCACGAGAAAGTTGGGCGCCATCAATACCATCTTATACTTGTACTACTTATCTTACTACCAATAGTAACAAGGTATGACAATGTGACCCTTGGTTTGACCCAGTTATGCAAATAGTCATTGAAGTGTGCCGTTTTGCGTAAAGTTACCACATGCGTCCTTGGTCCTCAAGGCGATCATCCTTATTTCTCGCTCCATGATGAATCGCACTCGACCCATTTCCAACCGCTGATCACAAACCATGACCATCATGGAAGTTTCTACGAGTATATGTGACGGTAAGAAAAATGTCCATTGAAGTCCGTCCCCATGCACGCTAGAGTGGCATGATACGTACCGGTAGCATCCCTCGCCACATAGAATCTGTTTACTTGGTGTCCTTGAGACCAATCGCTTGCAGGGCTTGAACTGCACTTCGTTCAATTCTACTAATATGTCACTTCACATTCGATTACTTGTTGGGGACAGGCGTCGCCTCCTTGGGCGTTGGTGACATTGCGCCATTGGCGGTGTGTGCTGTGTGGGCGCGAGTCGATCGAACGCGTGCTCGGTCAAGGGAGCCAGGGCTGCTGGACGAGACGTGACCGCCTTCGATTACGGAGATGTTGTCGAGCTCGTCACGTGGTGCGTGCGATGAGGTTCAAGACCATATTCTCAGCCAACTTTTTATGTTGCTCAGCAGACCATCGACTGTCTGGATCATTCCTGTACAGTACCTCATGGATTTCCATATTTAGAACTCATCATCTGGAGTCAATGTCGAGCCGACGCAGCGCCCCGCCCAAGCCGACCGTGCTCTCGATGTCGTCCGAAGGTCTCGCCAGCATCACGTTCACGGTCTCGGACAAGCGGCCAAAGTCTGCTCACCATCGCTCGCGTGCGCGACAGCCGAAGCCACGAGATGCCACGTCACAAGGCAGCCCACTTCTGCGCAAAGCTGCAACGTCAGTCACGCCCACTATGCTCATGGTACACTCGCTGCGGCGACGTTTCTTCATTCGCATCTCCCTAGGCACTAATGTGGTATGAGTAGAGTGCGAATACGAATCCGTCGGGTGCTAACATCCAGAAAGGCTCGTTCCGCAAGTCCACGGCGTGGTCCGAGAAGCGCGACGCCACATCAACAGCGGTATGCTTGTCTTGCGCCTAACGATCACAATGGTTCTGTAGAAGCCTCGGGTGCGCACTGACCCGAACCCACGCCACGGATCCGTGTCGCCACCCAAAGACACGTCGCCGTCACCGCCACGCTGCGCAGCTGTGGACGGAAAGCGGTCACCACTCCAGCGCGATGTTCACCGGGCAGCCGCGCTGGTAGTGGACCCCAAGCACGCAGTCGCCGACATTGAGCGGGTGTCTGGCGCCAAATGGGATGCAGCCCATGGCTTTGTGTGCCCAAGAAAAACTGTCACGGGCACATCGCCTCGCTCTCAAAGGAATACTAGAGTCGAATCATCGACCGACGGACAATGTCAAATTACTGAGACGTGGGTGCAGCCGAGTACGCGGAACAACAAACGTGTGGTCGGCGTCGGGGCTCGGCACCAGCGGTCAATGCAACAGACCAAAGTCAATAGTGCGCGAGACAGCGGTGATAGGACGCCCCAAGCGCGCTGGCTCTAACCAAAACTAGCAGTATTTGATCTTGCGTGGCTGTGGATTCTCGTACACAAGCACCAAATAGCAGTCACGAAAACTTCTTGAATGTTAGTGTAGAACGCTTAGGGTTAGCAAGCTCAACCGGAAAGGCAACGATTTACTTGTCCATGCGACTCGCAGCATCGTCAGCCACGCGGCGCCAGTTGGTTCGCGCAAGGTACACTGTAAAGAAGACGAACGCTGACGAGACACCGATCGTCATGCCCATCCAAAGCCCCGGTACGTCCAAGTCGGCAAGAAACCCGAAAAGAGCAGCTAGCGGAAGTCCAATCGCGCAGTACGCGACAGCATTTACGTGCGCTCCGATGGCCTGACGTCCCATGCCGCGCAAGAGCCCTTGCGCGGCCACCTTCATCGCATCCACGAATTGGTACACAACCAGGATGTACAGAGCACCTTGCGTCGTCCTAAGGGCACTAGCATGAATGTACTTGCAAAAGAGCAGAGACGAGATCACAGACCGGATGGAAGACGCGTCGTTGATCAACCACGCCGGCAAAACGAGTCGGAAGGCGAGAACAAAAGCACCAAGGACGGTCGCGGTAGCCGCGACAACGACGTACGACGCCGACACGATCACCTTGGCGCGCATCGGCTCGTACGCTCCGATCTCGTTGCCCAATCGGATCGTCGTCGCAATCGAGAGTCCGAGAAAGATACTGAAAGCAATATATGGATGACAGCGTCACCAAGACCTAGATACCCATTTTCAGACAGATGTGACAACATGTGGTTCTTGGCGACCGAGTGCACGCTGATGGCTAGCACCGGCGACGGCATCCAGCCTGCCATGAGCGTGAGAATCTCGAGCGCCCACCATTCGAGGAGCATCATGGCCATGGCTACGACGTATACGAATCATAAGATACGATTCAAAACGGGTTGGTGTTCACACCAGGAACGCCAAACTGGAGGAATTCGCCAACAAGGCGTACGGCGTCGTGCCACTGCGAGGTCCACGAGGACCCTTGCGGCCACCACTGCTCATGCACTCGTGTGTACTTGATGTAAAGGATCGCAAGAAGCGGCAACGACGTATTGCAGACCAAGCGTGCATAAGCAATGCCGAGAAATCCTACAGACGCCTTGACAAAACGAACACTCCGTGATGACGAGTCAAACCTGCGTCGGTGAAGTAGCAGAGGTAGTAGCCGACGCCAGCGTAGAGGAGGTTGCTTGTGATTGCAATGTACGCCATGGGTGCAGCAATGTGCTGGGCCTGCAGTACCTTCTTGAGGAGCTCGTACGTAAAGCAAAGCGGGAGACAAAACACGGTTACGCGCGAAAACTCGCCAGCCAGCGACGCCACGACCGGGTCTTGGCCAAGCCAAACCAGAAAGAGCCCCGAGTTATAGTTGAGCAAGAACATTGGAACGTAGGTCACCCTATTTTACACAAGTTGCCGCGTAACCAAACGATGACAACGGGGACGTACGCAAGGACGAGGAGGCCGCACTGGAGGTAGCCACCGAGAAGGTTTGTCTTCCCAGCGCCAACAGCTTGAGAGCAGAGTGTGTCCAGCGCCGAGGCAAGACCAAATCCAATCGAGAGGCCTGAAAGGTTCAAGAACACGGTAGAGAGCGCGGCTGCGTCCACATACTCTTTTGTGAGAGGCGATTCGAGGTGGCCCACGAGCAAGACCGAGAGGAAGCCCGGAAGGAACTCCATCAGATACGTGGCAACCTATGCGACTTGTCAGTCATTTGTAGTGGATAGAAGGACTACCATCGGGTATGCGAGCTTTATGAGCGATGCAACCTCTGACCGCAGCGAGTGGGGCTCCACAAGAAAGACATCGCTGGTCGAGGCTGCTTCGAGGTGGTCCGGAGGCAAGAGTGTCTTGGTTTCGTCGTGCATTGTCATGCAAATGAATCAATGAAGGCTTGATTCGATACCATATTTGCGTCGAGCAGACCTACAAGTCCGCTGCCCCATTCGCAGTCACAGCCACGTGCTTGGGATGCTCGCTGTGGGCCTCACCAAGGCCACGCAGCGTGTGCTCGGAAAGTTCCGTTGGCTATGAGTGGTACCCTTGAGGATTACCACGTAATGTGCCCGCGCTTCAGACTTGTATAACGTTGTTCAGCGAACAACAAGACGATAGAAGGGACCACAAATCGTATCTGATTGGCTAACACTACTAGAATCTTCGTTCCGAAATGACGCAGCGCGGTGGCGTATGATGGAGGTGTGTTTGTGTCCCGTCAGTGAGGGACCGATGTCCTAGAAGTATATTTGTGCGCCAAATACGTGATGAGCAGCACCCCCAGCCTTCGGGACTGGTTTCATTTGTGCGAAACGTCCGCGCCCCCCACCATCAGAATAAAATCTACGGAACTATTGTAATAGTTCTTTCGATATGTAGAACATCTGGCCCTGGGTCCATGACCGTGTTGTTCTATGGCATGGACACAAAATAGAAAAGTGCCCCGTCGTTCGTCTTGCTCGAAAGAAAGAAGCCTGGTCCGTAGTAAGCGGTTGTCCAGGAAAAGAGATCTCATCATGATGGGCAGACTATACTCAAGGAACTTGACCATGGCGGATGAAGCCAGAAGCTTGCTCTCCACTGGCGCGTCACATGCCTACGCCACACCACCCGGCGACTTTAACCAGCTCACCCACCCGTTGGTAGGCAATCTATGCATCGTGTCGGCCCTTTTCGTTCATGTTGCTAACGCCTATTAGGCGACAGGTTTGCCAACGTCCTGCGCGCCGACCGACAGCGACGTCGAGGCAGCTATGACCCTCGAGACGCCGATCAATCCGCGTGCTGAGATTTTCGCTCTCCTCCACTTGGCAGGCCCTATGGTACAACACCACACGTCGGCATCATCCATTGATTGACCTGGGATCCAATAGTTTGCGACCTTTTTGCTCGAGATCTTGCCAGGTTTCCTCTCCGTCGTGCTCGTGGGACACATCAACTCGCCGCACACCAAGGAGTTTGTGGACGCAGCCACCATCGTCGACTGTCTTCTTCAACGTCTG